TGCTACGCTTTTCGGCATGAGAAGTTTTTAACCGTTTTCTCCTTATAGCTAGGTTGTTGTAAAATTGATTTTAAATCGGTATCAACCTATTCCCCTTTCATTGTACACGAACACTCAGCATTTAATAAATGTATCATGTATACGGAAAGCAGGTATAGTATTGAACCGTATAATGAAAGCATGCTATATCTAAAATCTCAATTCTAGTTAAATTTAAAAATGAGTGACGTGAAGGAAGAAAGAACGTCATCAAGTTATCAATAGATATCCTAGGGAACAAAAGTTTGAAACTTGAAAACCATCTTTCAATCTTGCTTTCAACTGCTACAAAACAGAGACCAACTTTGGTCTAATTTTGATTAATTTTTGACTTCTTAAAGAATTATGAATTTCACCCTAAAGGGTATAAGGATATGATAAGGATATTAATTCAATTGTTAGAAAAGTGAAAAATATTTTTTTGCGATGTTTGGTTTCAACTTTTAATACGTTTTGCATGTCATTAAGAATTCTTTATTTATTAACAGAGTCTAAAACAATACCAAATCGATGTACTTAATTACAATAATTAAGTTATGAGTTTAAAAGTATTATGCTAAAAGGATTGTTCAGTGTTTACCTTTTTAACAATCATTTTCAAGTAGTACGTATTTAATAAGAGTTTTGGTTTTATTCTTGATAAATGTGATCTCTAAAAGGAGAAAATAGAAGGTTCAATGAACTGAGGGAGAGGTAATTTCAAGTGACCCTCCATGTCGGATTCACAACGGTACCCTTAAAATCTATGTCTGATCAAGGATAAACGTAATATTCCTACCTATCCTATTATTGCATCACTCTGAAAGTTCTACCTAATATATATCATTATAGTTTCAGCAGAAGTAAATATTTCCATTTACTGATAGCGCCAATTGAAGAATTCATAACTCTAATCGGATAATGAGATAGATAGAAAGCTAAATGTTACCGCCATACTATTTCTATTGATACAGAATAGACAACAAACACATGACTGAACCCTGATTGGATCAGGCGCTAATGGACTCGGCATATAGAAGTGTATCCGCTGAAAATTGATTTATTTCAATTTTGGTTTGCAGATTTATATTTCAGAAGGAAATTTTCAGACTTTCCCTCTATTATTTAAATTTCCAAAACTGTTGTTTACAATATATCGATTAAAAAAGGATGAACAGTCCCTTTATTGAACTTTTAAGTAAAAGACTGTTTCTAAGAAAGGTTAATAAAAGAATAGATGAAAATATTTGTTTCTTCGAAGCAAGAATTCCTGGACGTTGAATGTGAAGAAAAACAAAACAATTCTAAAGAATTGAATCCTTTGAAATCCAACCCCTCAATTTGAAAAATTTGAAAAATATTTCCAAATAACCGTTCAACCAATTGATAAATTTCACAGAATTGACAACGCATCTCATTATCTTAAGCAGGGGCGTATATAGCGGGATTGGAGGACATTACCGAGCCGGTAAAACATACACCTTAGATGCATTCAGTCTGCACTGCTAAGTGTAATCAAGCAAGCAAGATCACAGTGCCCTACACGGTAAACTAGGTCCTGGTTATTAATCAAGTAAGCCTTAACTTTCGAACCCTTTTGATATTTTTGTTGGGCTATATATATGGTAATTAAATAATTTTGAATGAGAGATAAAAATATGACTGAAAATATGTGGATACAGACAGGAAGCACTTTGTTGTAGTTAGTGTTTCGTTTATACACAGTCAAATAAATATAGATGTTAAATAAAGTTTACCCCCCCCCTCCTCACAACTTCACAGCTAGACATCTAGACAGTCATGTAAATGTTTATGAAACTAATGTGTACTTAATCATTCTTCCTCACATTATAACACGTGTGCTATACAGTTTTGATTGGTTTCCGGATTTTCTCCAAAAATTTAGGATATTTCAAATTTTTTTTTTTCAATTGAAATGAAAATAAAATTAAAATCAACTTAATATTTTGACTTCTGCTTTGTTTCAAAGCTTATTTGATCTAGAAATAGCCATTAAAAGGATCTTGCCCTTTTAGATTATATTTGTATCTCGCTAAAGCTCGGGACAAAATTAAATCTCTTATTCTAAGAAGAAAGTACCTAGGTAACAATGAAAGGAATTGGAACTTTGTCATATTATCAAACTGTTAAAATATTATAACTTTGTAACCTGATAGTATAAACCTTTCATATTTTGAACTTACTGATCTAACAGAATTAATAGCTTTAAATATCTAGGGTTGCACAGATATATGAATTCGAAAATCAGAGTTTGTGGCTATGAAGACTCAATTCCTTGGTGCAGTTTATGTAATCTTTCTTTTCTTTTAAATTCTGTTATATTTGATGTCAGCTCTACAAAACGGGTTCCATGTCAGATTTGAATTTAAAATAAGACCTATCAAACATGTTAATATATTTGAAAAAAAAGAAAAAATCAATTTTGAACTGTAATACGCTACTTTGATTAATTATAGATTATCTAAATATTGGAAGAAAACAGATATTCACTGAAACCTTTAAATGTATTGAATATCAATTATCTAAAAAACAACTTAAATCTTTAGAGCAAGAACATTTAATAAATGCGTATAGTCTGTAAAGTACAAATCATCACTCCCATGTTTATATTTAATCCGACCCCCCCCCCACTCCATTAAGGTGTATTTTAGTGGGACAACATAAATGTATACGTTATATCTTTGCATTTAAAAATTAAGTAGCTTGCGTTAATTTATTATGATTTCAATTTATAATTACTTTCCCGTTCATACCATTTTCCCTTAATCACAGTAGCAAAAATCTTTATGTACATTGTTAACAGAGAAGACGTAAAAGTTACCAAAACATAACATATATTTTTTGCTTTCCAAGACTGAATAGAAATGTGTAAAAAACAGAAAATAAAGAACACATAAAACTGCACTTATTTCACTGTAAGATAAGCACTTAGTCTAAATTTATCACTATTATTAATGATTTTGTCGAACACAAAAACTGCATTGACACTTGTGACGTCAGAAGCTGTACTGAGGTTGTACAACTTCTATATTGCCATCTATTGTACTTGACAATCTTTAGGAGCTTACAGGGCACAAGTTGTCACATTAATGTCGCAATATCTTTCTTTAGTGAATTAAGTGTTGTGGAACTAAAAAGAAAAAGATAAATAAACCCTGATAAAATTTTCATGAAAAGTAAAACAAAATTAACTTCATTCATAGAACTAGATTCCGATTGGTGTAACCATATTTTATGTACAAGCGAGGAACATAACACAAAAACTTCACTAGAAGTGAAGTAAAAGATTAATCAAAGTAAGAAAAGTAAAAGAATAATATGAGTGAGTAAAGTAAAAGACTAATCTGAGTAAGCAAAGTAAAAGAATAATCTGAGTAAGTAAAGTAAAAGACTAATCAAAGTAGGAAAAGTAAAAGACTAAACTGAGTAAGTAAAGTAAAAGACTATAAATCTGAGTAAGTAAAGTAAAAGATTAATCTGAGTAAGTGAAGAGAAAAAGGCTGATATAAGTAAGTAAAGTAAAAGACTAATCTGAGTAAGTAAAGTAAAAGACTAATCTGAGTAAGTTAAGTATGAGACTGATCTAAGTAAGTAAATTAAAAGACTTATCTGATTAAGTAAAGTAAAAGACTAAACTGACTAAGTAAAGTAAAAGAATAATCTTAGTAAGCAAAGTAAAAGAATAATCTGAGTAAGTAAAGTAAAGAATAATCTGAGTAAGTAAAGTAAAAGACTAATCTGAGTAAGTAAAGTGAAAGAATAATCTGAGTAAGTAAAATAAAAGAATAATCTGAGTAAGTAAAGTAAAAGAATAATCTGAGTAAGTTAAGTATGAGACTGATCTAAGTAAGTAAATTAAAAGACTTATCTGATTAAGTAAAGTTAAGTATGAAACTGATCTGAGTAAGTAAAATAAAAATAACTAATCTGAGTAAGTTAAGTAAGAGACTGATCTGAGTAAATAAAATAAAAGACTAATCTGAGTAAGTAAAGTAAAAGACTAATCTGAGTAAGCAAAGTAAAAGAATAATCTGAGTAAGTAAAGTAAAAGAATAATCTGAGTAAGTAAGGTAAAAGAATAATCTGAGTAAGTAAAGTAAAAGACTAATCTGAGTAAGTGAAGTAAAAGTAAAAGTTGTCTTTAAGAACAGTCTGAAACTATAAACCCCTTGACCGATTTTCTTCAAATTTTGTTTGTGAGTGTGAATCGTTAAAACAAAATCTGAGTAAGTAAAATAAAAGAATAATCTGAGTAAGCAAAGTAAAATAATAATCTGAGTAAGTAAGGTAAAAGAATAATCTGAGTAAGTAAAGTAAAAGACTAATCTGAGTAAGTAAAGTAAAAGAATAATCTGAGTAAGTAAAGTAAAAGACTAATCTGAGTAAGTAAAGTAAAAGACTAATCTGAGTAAGTGAAGTAAAAGTAAAAGTTGTCTTTAAGAACAGTCTGAAACTATAAACCCCTTGACTGATTTTCTTCAAATTTTATTTGTGTGAGTGTGAATCGTTAAAACAATCGAAATATTGTTAGATTGACTTGAAAAATAGATTTCCAGACTACGCTGGGTTCCCAAGCTGGTAATGATTAATGATGATAATTTACTACAATCTATGCTGTAGATGAAATAGCTATGAAACAAAGAAGAGGGGACTGTGTCGTATTTTGGAATACACATCCCCCCCCATCAACCAAATGCGACCCCCTATTGACCCCCAATAAATTTGATTTTGAACAAACACCTTGTGCACATTTTATTGCTGAGTCAGTGAGAAAGATTGATAGCTGTTAAAAATGTTATACGGTTATATAAATATACACCTATATATATTTGATTCTGCTTTATCACATATGTACTCTATGTATCTCAATACATCTATATTCTATGAATAAATTAACTGCTACTCTATGTACCCTAATACCTCTATTATATGAACATATGAATATATAAACTGCCACTGCCCTGGAAGTGTGCAGATTTGCGTCCAATTTCTCCATATCCGTCTTCAACCATAGCTCAGGACCCAGGATCTGAAATATATCATGCTTATTAAGATGTCGGTGTTTAAAAGTCAGTTTCGAAACCCTTTTCACCCTTTAAAATGTAAATATGAAAAGCATGTATGGTTCCTTGCGCTTTCTTTAATGGATTTTGAATAAAATCTAAATGTTGCATATGTTTTGGCCCGGACATACTAAGATCTAGCTAGATTTGCGTGATATGTCTTTTTTTATTGGAGAACAGATTTTGTAACAGTAGTCTAAAGATCTGACTAAATATTTACAGCGATCTATTTAAAAACCTTCAATAATTTACTTTGAACATTTGACAAAGTTCTCTTGGTTAATAGCTTTCAAAGGTTATGATGAAGAAATTTCAATTGGACGGTCATTTCAAAAGTATGTCCAATTTTTACCAGGCCCTTTTATACAAGAGCAAAATTGTACATTTTTTAACTAAAGCTTTTGTAAAATAGGGGACATTTTTGTAGCAGAATAAAGGAATACAATTATTTTTCATAAGAGAAAAACAATGATAACTTTCTAATTATTATTCAAATAAACGTTTAATGGTTGCCGTTGCTAACTGGGCATGTAACCCTTTAAATGTAGTGTCACGTTAAATTTTGCCGACGTTCCCTTTAATAAGAGTTAGTTCATAATGTTCTTCTCTAGTAAGATTAAACTGATGTTTAGTCCTTAAATGTTTCGAAAATCAAATGCGTTTAATTAGTCCAAACTTCTGTTTTTAAAGAAAAACGTACTTCTATGTTGATTGTTGAACATTGACTTTAGCAGGGAATTACGTCATGGATTAATATTAAAAGCAAAAAAGGGTCAAATACTTATATTTTCAACCGATATTAAAAATTTGTTTTTAAATCGACAATCGATAGCTTAAAACTTGATTTTTTAATAATCTGTGCTTTTAACAAAATTCATGGTGACTTTTGGCGAAATCAAAACTTTTTTTCTAATCAGTGGCTCTTTTGAAAGAAAATTTGTTATTGAAAACATTTAAGATTTCATTTAACAAGAAATTATCATATTCATTTTAAGAACCAGTTTTGCTTATGTTATGTACAGAAGAATTATGTTCGTTAAATCAAACTGTGACTGTATTAGAACTAGTGATGTCCCTTCAGTTCGGTTTTTTTTAGAGTCAAATTTTGGCAAAATGAAAATTAATGTTTTTTTTATTTGTATTTTAAACATTTACTTTTATTACACTATGTCATATTTTGGCAGAAAAATATTGAAAAATTGACCTAAAACGATCCAAAATCGGACGAACGTGTTGTAAAGATCGTTGTTGGATTTTTTTTTCGGATTTTAGGAACAAACTATTGCAAAGTTAAAAAAATACTTTAACATAATAAAGTTTGAAATTTTGGAAGTTCTCTTAATTGCCCATGCAAACCAGAATTTGTGCAACATCAATGGTGCGACATTGTGACCTCGTGACACCTCTAGTTTTGATTTTACGAAAAAACTATTTTATCTTGCTATATATTGGAAATTTAAATTTTTTTTGTTACTCATAATAATTCTTGAATAAGAGAAGTAATGATTGCAAACATGAAAGATTTCTTACGAGCAATTTATATTAGTTTGATGTAAATTTACACTAGTTTGACGTGAATTTACATTAGTTTGACGTGAATTTACATTAGTTTGACGTGAATTTTCAGTAGTTTGACGTGGATTTACATTAGTTTGACGTAAATTTCTTTGGATAAATTATACATTCCAAAGAATGTATAGACACAGTTTGACGTAAATTTACATTAGTTTGACGTGGATTTACATAAGTTTGACGTGAATTTACATTAGCTTGACGTGAATTTACATTAGTTTGACTTGGATTTACATTAGTTTCACGTGAATTCACATTAGCTTGACGTGAATTTACATTAGTTTGACGTGCTGTTTTCCCGACTTTAGTTTTCAATCTGTGTTATTATTTTGATAAAACTAGTTCCAGGTGTTTGTGCATCACAGTCAAATGTGTACACAACCCCATATCCTTCCAACCTTACGTTTACACAAATTTAGTCTGGCCTGAGCCCAAGAAAAAAGATCAAAAATTTCGGGACATAAAAACAATAAGAGTCAATATCGAAACATTGAGAAAGATTTTCCACTAAACCCAGCCAAGATTGGTTTTATTTTCATTTCATCAACTCTTTTAGTCGGGTTAAGGGCAGGAATCTGTCGATCATGTGACAAAAGCTGTTCTCATCTGATTCTGAAGTGGGGTCTAAGATAAAGTTTTAAAACCCGGGTTTAAGAAATTAAAACCCGGGGTTAAGCTTTTAAATTTCAGGCTCTGATAAATTTAATATACATTTAAGAGAACTGATGGAAACAGTAAATGTCAAGGTTAGACATCAATCAATTGATATCGATATAATTGGATCAATCTTTCTATTAAATACATGTTCAAATAAATGCTTAACAAAAAACTGATAACAATATTGTGCTGCATGTCTTCGTCGTCGTTATCAAAACAATTTTGAAAAAGTCCATTTTCCAAATCCAACCTCCAGGTTGGACAATTCAAAGACTGTACTCCCAGCTCAAATACATTGTCATTATCAAGCCCGTCACTCCCTTTAATATACAGTAAGTGCTCTTTTTTAAACTTTGTTGGTCATTGTTGAAAATAAAATTGCATTTATCTTAGAACTCAAATTTTCTAATTCCTGTATCTTTATAACCTTGTAAACCTTCAATATTTCAAACTTTGATTATTTGATATTTAAAATATCTAAGTTCTAAGACATTGGGTTGCAAAGACTCAATTAATGGTCTATTTACTGTTATGATGATTGTTATTTTACTTTTTTTTAACTTGAACACCATATTTATTGGGAAAAACAATTATGAAAAAAACTATTGTATCTGGCTACATTGGAAATTTTTATTTTTTTTACTTTCAATAACTCCTCAACAAGAGATTACAGTAATTAACTTTAAACTAAAGTAAAATTTAGTGAAGATAAAAATCTTTCATATTTTCAAGCAAAGCTCCTTTTTCTGATGATATGCTTTTAGGGAGGAAAGTTTCAAACAAAAAGTCACATTTTTTGGAGCAAAATTCCATTTTGAGGAGTTACGAGATCTTAAAGTCGTCCCTACGTAATTTTCATACTTTTGGCCTTGTCCCTATGTTTAAGTAAGAGTTCTTTATTCAGAACTCTATCTTTTCTAGAAACCATAGAATTTTATAATTCCTGGGTCTTGTTTCTCTTCGTTACAAAGTTATGAAATAATTATTTATTTGGATATTGAAAAATTATTGGTTTTGTTAAAACCAACTGTTGTATATCTTAACTAGTTACATTCTTACCTATTCAAAATCCAAATGATCGCCTAAAATCTTCATAATTTCTGGCTCTCTAATTAAAGTAATTGCTTTAACGTCTGTCAAATCATGGATTATTTCTATTTCTGAAACTTTTAATCTTAATACAATATTGCATATTTATAATGTGCAATTATACATATGGGTTGTTAATCATTTTTAAAAACGAACCACTCTTTTTGAGCTTTTAAAAACGATAAACTTTAGTTTTTGAAAGAAAAAAAAACCCTAATGAATTCGTGTTTTATGATGATTAATTTTAAGGAATTTCTGATCTGAGGATTTTCCGACTAAAAAATGTATTTTGTACGTTAACGAAGGGTCGTTTTTATAAACGAGTGTTTCGTTTAAAAAACCACATCGTTTTTTAATCGAACCACTCGTTTTGAACTTATACCCTGAGCTATATATTTTCCTAAACCCTGAGCTTTACATATCCTTCTAAACCCTGAGCTGAAGTGAGACTGTGTTCCTCCGTCTGAGGATCTGGTTCAGCTCTCTTCCCCCAGGTAGATACTGGATACACTCTCTTCATAGATTCTCAGGTACCTCCCCCCCCTACACCTTCCCTCCTTCCCCTTCCCCCTCCAACCTTCATGCACTCTATCCCCCTCTCCCTCCCCACGTTGCAACCACAACTCATCTCTAAATATCCTTCCTTCCTACCACATAACCAACCACAACTTCTCTCATCCCTACTCAGGATAAAAGAGTTTATAAAAATACAAATATTACATTTAATTTTCTAAGTAATAATTTAAGCATCCATGCTTCTTTGCTTTCCATTGAATCCATTTTTTAATCAATTCCTTCAATATTTTAAAAGTTCTGTCAAAATTCGTTGAAATTTAATAATGTCTCGAATTTCATGATAAAATCCGTAGTTCTTTATTTCATGACTTTCATTCAGCCTAATAATGGGAAAATTGTTTTTAAATCGACAATCGATAGCTTAAAACTTGATTTTTTAATAAGGTCCTGGTTATTAATCAAGT